GGGGGGGGGGGGGGGGGGGGGGGGGGGGGCCCCCCCCCCCCCCCCCCCCCCCCAAGTTTAGTTCAAGCCCCCCCAACTCTGGTCGGAATGCGTCCGCCCTACCCCGACGAGAAGTTAGCCCCCCCCCCCCAACGTTCAGCTTAGCTCCCCCATTGACGAAAACCCGGCTACGCCATTGCTTGAGATAGTTCGCAATCCATAAGCGCGAAGTAAGCGCTGCTCCAGCATCTCTTGCTTCCCAGAATGTAGCAGGTCATATGCGGTCCACCCACCTCACGTTTTATTTGCCAAATCGCACTGTTTTAAATACTCAGACACGACACGTAAAAGTGCGAAACTGAATGGGTTTCAAGTTGTATCAGTTTTACGATAGAACTATTACGTTGGACTGTGGAGGGGGTGGATGAGGGATCACACTTCAGATTGTTTAATGAGGATTGGTCAAAATGCTACATGGCCCATATCCCCTGGCGGTTGACCTCTCCTGTCCATTGAAGCGATTGTCATCCAGAATTTTAACGTAGACCTTGCCTCGAATGACCAGGGGCCGACAAACATTTTACGACCGACGACGTCGCTCATTTTGATGCTTGAGTGCCAACGCTTTTCTTAACTTGAACCCCTCTCTCGTTTAAAGGTATCTTAAGAAGCCCAGTCAGATGAATCAATCGATTGGAGAGAAGGTAGCAGCAGACAGAAAGCTGGAACATAAAGCTGCAAAAAAAGCCTCACCGGACAACGCTCATCGCTCTGGTTGAGCGAAAGATGAAAAACGAAAGCGTAGAATTCAAAGGCACGATGGAGCCTAAACTAATAATTACAATGGAATACGATAATCCCTCACAAGGGCGTAGCGAGGGGGGCTAGGGGGCTTCAGACCCAAACAAGTTTGGTTCTAGCGCCCCCAACTCCGGTTGAAATGTACAGTATACGCTTCCTCCCCTCCCCCCCCCCGAAGAAGTTACGAAAATTCTAGCCTCCGCTTTGGCGAAATCCTGGCTACGCCACTGTTTCCTCTTACAACTTCTTACCCGATAAACTTAGGTTCATGTTTCACCCGTAACAGAACAGTAATTTTGGAAAGGCTAGACAGGTCTCGACAGAACTATTCATGAGAATGAAGCCTTCCTTTCGTTTGGCCTCTCAGGAAAGAAACTCCTTAAAAAATATCGAAAATAGGAAGGATAAGCTGATGAAACGTCGCCGCAGAAACGGTCTGGGAGTTCGGATACCTTCAAAGAAGCATCTTCAACTGAGGCTGTTCGTTACTCCCTTCCTCCCTCTTCTTTAGCCACGTGCCACGCCAGCCCATGTAAACGTAACCGCACGGGGCCGAAACTGGACACGAAGCTACGAGTGGGCAGGGGTGGATACCCAAACTTCATGGGTCTTCCGCTCCCCACTCCAACTTTCAAGTCTGCTTGTTATTGACGTGCAGATATTTTTCTTTCTTCCCACCTCTTGCAGTGATTTGCAATTTCATTGACATGGTGAACGCCTCCAGGAGTGGGTGGACCCCTTTCGATAGAAAGAGTTCTTTGATCCAGGATCGTGGATACCAACGATCTTAACGTACCTTTAGCCACGCAAAACGCAGGACTAGCCAGTTTGGTATTTGTCTTATTCTTTTCGAGTGTCATGTGGCAAAACCCCAGATGACTCGAGCGAGACCATGCTATGGCTACGCGTTCACCTATCGTATTTGGAAAAAGAAAATAGAGAAGGTCCTGCCCGGCCTGTCCTCTCTGTGGGCATGTGGGCCCGAATGCGACTTAGGGACTTTGCGGGCTGCGGGACGGCCCGCTCATCTCTAGTACGTGAAGAGTGCAGACGTGCATATGCTATCAGTTGATCTTGTTGACTGGATTCCGTCTGAATCACGTAACCTTAACTCTTGAGCTCTCAAGGCTGATGCGTGACACACAGAGCCGCTGCATATACTTAGCAGTTGCCGGAATCATAGGCCTTATACGTCTATCAATGTTCGTCTTAGAGGAATGCAACGTTAGGCCTAGTGCTTTGAAAATGAATTCGTAAGCTTATCATACACCGATTTTAGGCCTACCTCACACATATAGGTAGCTTAAACATTCACAAGAGCAGGTCTAACCCATTCTAGGCATAGACGTACACTTAACTTAGAAATGCCCACCAACGGCAAAGATTTCCACTAAAGTTTACTTAATATCTTTCTTGAGAAATCCACTATCTGCATCTGTATCTTGAATGATAGGACATGATAGGCCCTCTGTATCTTCAAAGAGACTACCATTGGTTAATCAAACAAGCCTAGGCCTTGACATTCCCATGATGAATGATTTCAACCTTGACTATATACCTCAAGTGCATTTAGGTGTTGGTGCAGTTGGCATACAGTGCTCTTAAGGTGAATTTGTAGGGCTAGACCTACCACCTTTGACATGGGCCCACCACTTTATTCATGAGAGAAATGGCATGTTTTGGTGCTTTTGGAATCAAATTTTTTTAAAGTAAAAACATTGATAATACAGTGTTTTTTTGCTTGAGTCAGACAATGTTTCACTTGGACACTTACGTGAGACATTCCTCATGCATGAGTGTTTGAGTCAATGAACATTGTCTGACTCAAATGAAAAACACTGTAGCATACTCATTTATGATGGTATGAATGTTTGTTGAATCTTTTCCATAGCCTGAAGTAGAAGTCAAATTGCCATACAGTATGCAGAGCCCTACCAAATTGGCTGTTTTCACTTCCATTAGGAGGTAGTGAGTGTCTGAATCCCATGGGAGTCCCTATAATTGACTTTTTAGTGTGGACCTTGTTATAAATTGCATTAATATGAAGAACCAGTGAGGACAATGTGTTCCTTTAAAATGTAGATGCAGAAGAGACATGTATATAGACTATAATAATGGGTTTTAACTCTCCACACAAAATCAATGGTCCCATGAAACTACACTGGTAGGTAGCGTACAGGGCATGATGACTACTGCATGAATAATAGAACTGGAACCCCAGATAGACCAAAGTCTTATCATAGGCTTAGGCTTAGGTAGGTGTGCTTTGCCCTTGGCATCAATGACCCACAGGAGGAATATTGGCATGTATAACTCTGTATAATCATGTATGTATAATCTCTCTCAGACAAAGTAAAAGGCATTACAACAATATTGGGAAACAAGACTCTCTCAGCTTCTTGCTTGCATGCTTGCCATTCATTTTGGTATCTTAATCTACAAATGGTTCCAAACTAATCAGACTTACTCATCATGATTCAACAGTAAAGATGCTATTGGCTGCAGGAGGGGGAGAAAAAGATTTTGTCCCACTCTGTATGCATTCTGTGGATCTGGATGAGTTTTTAATGGTTTCTAGAAATCACTCTTAGCAATTACTGTTACTTTCATTTCAGAATCTTATCACTGCAAGAATTCACCATGGAACTTCCTAGGTGTTGGGTTGAAAATAAAAAAATTAAGGTCACCCTATAGTAAGCATTGTTAGCTCCAGGCTAAATAAAGTAAAATTTATATTTGCTCATGCATTCAGGAAACATATTCATTAATGTACTTGTGTATTTGGAACCATGGATCCAGAGGGGGGTTGCTCTGGATCATTCATAACTTTTGGAGAAATTGTGCCCAGTAGGATAGAAATCCTGTTTCAAAATACACTGCATTAGGTGGTATTGATTATTCTTCTGGACATGTGGAATTGAGGAGTATAGTAACTTGATTTACAGCCTAAATAAGGAGCCTGATAAAAATGAACATTTTGAAATCCCCTACTTTAAATTTTTTAGTCCTTATAGTCAAATAGTAGGAAGCTAAAGTAGATATTTGCTTTGATTCCCTTCTAAATCCTATGGACAACCCCCATTGCTACTGTGCCTAGCTATGCAGAGCTTCATTGTGATTTGATTATTTTACCTGTTTGCAATTGGTTTCTATCTGAATTTTCATGTAAATGTTAGTATTTCCAAGGAGAAGTACATAGGTTAATAGTGTGATCAGTATGAATTATATTCTTTCTGTAGCAGCACTGCATCTTTAATGACGGGTATATCTGTCTTAGCTTCATATGCTTTGATGTTTGCTCATAGAATAGAAGTAAACACCCAGCCAAGTGATTGTATGAGCTTTGCAGAAATCATGCTTTGCATTCCCTCACAGGTAGTGTAACCTACAGCAGACTACCCTCAGTTGATCAGTCATGGATCACGAGGAATACCCTGATGACTTGAATCCATTTGGTGATGATGATGCTCCTGAAAGCAATCAAGATCTGGAAGAAAACAATTGTGGAACACAAGAGGGAACCAATGTAACCAATGGAGTTGTTATTGAAGCACATGATAGGCAAATTGAGGATGGTACCACTATCAATGTAGTGGCAGTTGCCTTATCATCTTTGGTGGTGTCTGACACTACAAACATTTCAGATCCAGCTCTAGCTGAGGCTAATCATAGTGATGCTAACAAAGGGTTGTCAGGAGAAACTCAAGAGTCATCTCTATTTAATAGATCAGCAGAATATGATGACAGCTTGAACCCCTTCAGTGACAGTGATGATGGATATGATGCTGATGAGAGCTCTGTTGTTTCACAATCAGGTGATCAATCCTTGAATGCTAGTCCCGTTCGCCCTCGCAGAAAAAAAAGAGTTGCTCCTTTACCACCATCACTCAGAGAGGGACAAAAGTCCACAAGTCCTCCTTCAGTCGTGAAGTCTGCACGCTATAGACCGGGAATGCAGGAAGACCATGGCAAGAATTCCAGTAAAGGGATTGATGAAGATAATCAAAGTGATATCTCAGGTACAGGAAGTCCCACAAATACCATGAAGATGAAAAAGAAGCCAGCTCCTCCTGCTCCTGTCCCTCCAAAGAGATCAGTTTCTGATGAAGCAAGAGTTGACTTAGAGCAAGATTTAGCTGATATCCATATCCATTTGGAGCAGTTGGAACGTCAGCATGCATCTGTGAAGGAGGAGCTTGCTCATCTCCAGGATAAGTCTTTGGATAATGGCAATAAAGATGAAGAGGATGTCAGTAGGAGTGAGAAAACACCAGAAGTGGACCCTTCTGTCATATCTGAGAAAATAAGGCTTGCAGCAGACATCAATGATGAAATGGAAGAACTGAAGTGGAAAGAGAAGGAAGCACAACTGATGTTACAGGAGCTTGATCTTGAAGTAGAGCAGGCAGAACTGGAACACAAGATTAGAATATTTCAAGCCCAAGCATCACGCCTCCGAACAGATGCAGATCGCAAAGAAGAAGAAGAATGCTTGTCACGCCTGCTGAATGTTGTATCCAAGAGGAATTCCCTCATAGAAGCATTAGAAAAAGAGAGAAGCAAATGCATGGCTCATGATGTCAGTGTAACATCTGGTGAAGAAGGTCAAACGGGCAAGCGAAGGAAGCACAAGCTGAAGCTGAAAAGTAAAGCTCTTAGAAGGTTCCGTTTAAAGAAGAAAGCATGAAGTATCTCCCCTTCTGCCATGGCTTCTCCTTTTCAGGGGCATCACAACATCTTTTGTCTGATAACCCCAGAGATCAGACCTCTAAGCTAATGGCAAGATGTGTTTTGCATGGAATCAACCACAGTACCATCCTTGTAGTGCCTTTGAGAAGTGTCCTATGCAGTGCCTGATTAACATAAGTCAATGTCTTGAGTATTTTATTCTAGATTGTTGTAGAGTATGAGATATGAGTTCAGAAAATTCAGAAAGAGGAGGTTATACTTATTTTTATATGAAAGTTTTATGTGATTTTGGTGTATGCCTTATCCTGAACGTTTATATGAAGAGTTGGCATTGTCTAATTACAATAAAAATTCTAGTTTCAGGTATCACTGTTAGCCCTCATGAAGTCAGAAATGGTGCTTCCTATTGTGCAGTGAATGAGTGGCTAATAATGAGAGTGTAGGTAGTAGCAGCATCGTTCAGATAAACTCTTGATACCAAGATCTTCAAGAAAGCACCTGGAAGTTTATCAACCGGGGCACCTCCTGTGCTATCAGAAAACTCATGTGAGGTTTATTCAGTGTCAGATTTTTATGTGCTTTTTTTCTGAATTCTCAATTCAGGGATGAAGATTTATAAAAGTGTTCTGAGGGAGTGTTAGAAAATTTAAAGCTGAACCTGGTGTTTTTCTTTCAGGCCAAAAACGTCTCTCCATAAGAGACAGCTTGGGAGGCTTTTCCTTGCTCCATACAACAGACAGCTCGGGTTCAACTTCCCTCTTGGATTTAGAGACAGGTGAGGAAACTATATAAAAAACAGGGCCTCAGAGCATAATGATTTGATTATAGTTGCATGCCTTTCCTAGTCATTTAACCCTTATCCGGGCAAGGTATTTTTGTGACACAAATGGGCAAGGCCAAACATTTTTAGAATTTTTTTCCTTAAAAGCAAATCCAAACTTTAAAAGTTCGTTTCTGAATCTATGGATGACTGTCTATGAAACCCATATCAAATTTGAAGAATATTTGGAAAAATTTGCAGAGAGTAATGAAATGAAATATACCCTGGGGAGTCCAATGGACTCCCCTTGCCCAGATAAGGGTTAATCCTGATTCTCAATACAGGCGACTGCTGAGAATTGAAAAAATACCATTTATTGGTCATAATAATAATTGTCCTTTAAAAATGGAGTTTAATAAATTTCCTTTCTGGAAACTAGAACCTTTATTGTTGCAAAAGAAGCAATAAGAAAAATTTTTAAGAGCAGCAAGCCATTATGTGAATCTGAAAAAAAAAACTTTTTGTCTTACCTCCAGTTATGCACATAGTATGACAGAAGCACAACTATTGACTTGAGGAGCATGGAAATTTGGTGATAGGGTTGAATGCTTATTGCTGACTCCTCTCCAGATAGTTTTCATCAATATTTGTGAGAAAATTTGCTTCTAAATTATATTTTTATAATAAAAAAATGTTTCCCCCTTTTACCCCAATAGTTCCATTTGGAACCAGGAAGTTCACAAATTTTTCCTTGCCCTGCATTTGAACTGTTCTTGAATGTTTGGAAGCTTCATCACAGTTAGGGAAGCTATCTGCTGATTTGTTTACAATGTGTATGTTATTTCTCAGTGTGCATATAGGGTAGACAAAAGCGAGAGACCTTTGTAGTTTTTTTTATTTATTTCAAGAATGAGCTATTCTCAGAAATTCTATTCCCAGCTATATTTTTTGAAGGTATTTGTGAGTTAGATTGCAGGCAGTAGCATAGATTTGTCAAGAAAAATAGTACAGAGAAGAACCCTTTATTGCTATAAAAAATAATGAAGCTGCATTTGATTGAAAATGTTACATTTTTGAATAAATTAAATTTAACTTTATTCAAATTGAAATTATTTTTTAAAAGAGCAAGTCTATGTTTTCTAAGCTTTTCTAATCCCACAAAACTAAATAGAATATTTTTCCCATGTTCAAAACATAATTCTGGGATGAAAGAGTTGAAGAATAAAATTTTATGAACCTTTGAAATCTCTGGTGTTAAAAACATGGTAACTTTATGAAGACTTTCATCTTGACACTGGTTGCAACTCTTTCTGATTCAGGAAAGTTAAAATAATTTTTTTCCTTTGGTCAAGCACATGTTCAGATTCAAAGGCCCAATGAAAAGGTAATATTGATACTTCTCACTGGTGTTTTTGCTTTATGTATTGCAATCATAGCACCAATATGATGGGAATGTTGTTTGCAAACACAGGGCAATAATAGCCCAACATGAAGGGACACATAATCTGATGTGTCTAGGTTTCAGTATCATGAAGATTCCCTATAGTTGAATGAGAAAGAGTATGGTTTATGATGGTTTTCTTCTGTGTGAAGGCTTGCATCAAATTTCTATTCATCACTTCTGCGTGTTGGGTCCTGGAACCACCTAGATGAAGTTAAATTTGCTCAGGGGCCTCCAGGAGGGATCTTCAACTTAGAATTCTCCCCAGATGGGCAAGTTTTCAATACTCACCAAATATACTCAAAGCATAGATGCTGGAGCTTATATGTATCTGTTTCCTGTTGCAGCCGGTATCTTGTTGCTGCTTGTGAGGGAAAATGCATGCTCATGTTTGATCCACTCACAAGAAGTCAAATTGCACAATTCAAGGATTGCCACTCTGACTGTGTTAACTGTGTGAAGTGAGTGACCATTTACAATTGGATGCTACTAGAGCTCCACTTATATTTGGGTTTGCAATAGTTTCCATACACAATTCTTTCCTTTGCCTTCTAGGTTCTTAGATTCTCGCATATTTGCTACCTGTAGTGATGACACAACAGTGGCCCTATGGGATGTCAGAAACCTCAGTAGCAAGCTGCGAACCCTGAAGGCCCACACAAACTGGGTTAAAAATATTGAATATGATCAGAATGAGAAGCTGCTAGTGACATCTGATTTGGATGGGAATATTTTTGCATGGGATGTGAATGGGTAAGTGTTTGAGCTCAAAGGTTCTCATTCCCTGCAAAGTCATGGTGTTTACATCTAAGAGTGGATTATCTGTTCCTATCATTTCAGTTATTCAGAAGATGGGCTTGCTCACGAACGTGTGTTCAAGATGTCACATCTTATGCGTATGCGTCTCAATCCAGATGCAAGCAAAATGATCTTATGTACAAAGGGTGGTTACATGATGGTGATTCACAACCTCAGTCTGCCTCATATGGCTACTGATCTGGTTGGCTTCAAGGTAATGTTCATCTTTAGTTCTAATAGAATTTGTGAAAATGTAAGCAAGCTCAAAGAAGATGCACTGGTTCAAGCCTTCAGTCTTCCTTTGTTGCTGTTATAGATTTCAGCTGGACCCTATGTCATCAATTTTCTGACAATTTTAAAATGTTACTGGTGTAACCTTTGTATCTTTCTCACATTCTCCCTGAATATTTGACAAATTTAAATTTAACTCAGCTCAATTCATATTGCAGTGTTCAATATTCATATAACTCTTGTCCACTATTTTAGAATTGCTTACAAAGTTGAAATGGGACTGTGATTGTGCTTGGTCTGAATATGGCCCAGCCATCCCAGTAACTTGCTGAATGTGCTACAGCATGCTTCTCACTTCGTTTTTCAACCAACTATGTTACACATGAAGAAATGAGGCATGTGAGCCCTTCTGAGGCTGAAATCTTTAAAGGATCAGTAATAAATGACCTAGATGTAACCTTTGCTATCTATCTACCATCATGGGACTCTTCATCATGTGCTTTTTCTTCCATGAGTTACTTAATTGAAAATGTGAAACCTCACCCAGTGGCTTCAGTGCCAAGAATGCATCATTGTTCATTTTTTCCTTCATAAGACTGTGATGCAAGCTTGAAGGTCTATGTCCACATTAAATCTGCATTTCAATACTTCTTAGATGTTGCTTTGTTCTTCTGCATCCAGTAATATTCTCAAATCTGAGTCAACTGATAAAAATTAAGAAAATTTGACAGAATAGGATTTTTTTGCTCATTGTAGCCCAATTTGTATCGTGTGATGCAGCTGACAGGACAGTCGTGGATTCCCATGGCTTCTGCATATTCCCATCTCTTCAATGCCAAGAGGAACAGAGTGGAAATCATATCAGATTTCCCACATCGGGATGATGCAGAAGTGATATCCTCACTCCAAGTTCACCCCCAGGGATGGTGTGTGCTTACTCGCAATACTTCCTCTGATGAGCACTCCGAGGTGAAATACCCCAAGCAGTTTTCTTATAAGAAAAGTTTGTTTGAATCATTAAAGGAGTTGTAACTGTTGTTCTTTCAGTGGACATGTGTGCATGATATCCAAGATTTACCATTGAAAATAAATGAAGATGAGGAAGGAGAGCATGAGGAACTTCCAAAATCTTCAGCTGCAAGAATGAATACAGTGGCAATCAATGACTCAGATGAACAAGAGCATCACCAAATGCCACTTCAGCTATCAGGGCAAGTCATGGATGATGAAAGCAGTGATGATGATGGTGATACAGAACCAGTTCCACGTTTCCTATCCAGAGATGATCCAAGAAGGCAGACTCTTCCTCCTGCCCGTTATACATTACAGTTGACATCCTCTGAACTCTTGGATGCCCTTTTGGAGTTTCGTAGATGGGGCTGGGAACAAGGTAAGCATACCAGAAACTGGTTTTAGTGTGGTGCCTGCCATACTGTATATCATCAGTTCTGCTGTTCTTTTAATTTCAGGAGCCAGCAATAGTGAAGGCAGCAATAATAGCAATGATAGGAGGAACAGTGACAACCCACAGAACAATGATCGTGTTCATTCAAATGAAGGTGCTGTAGGAGCAGGACCAGGACCAGGACCATCTTTAGCCAGGAATGCATTGAGGCGCCGTGTTGCCTTTGTCATGCAAACCGGTAATCGGGTAGAGCCTAGGACTTTGTTGCTGGTAAGGCCACCCCGCAACTTACCACCACATAGTAACAGTCTCATGGATGCAGTGGTGCCACCCAGCTACAAAATCCAAAAAAATTTCCCAAGACTTACCCACTTCATTGAAGAATCCAATGTTGGGAATGGTTTCATCAAAGAGCTGTGCTTCAGTGCTGATGGCCGTGTGATCTTCTCTCCATTTGGCAATGGGGTTCGAATGCTTTCTTTTGGTCCTTCATGTGAGCAGCTCTGCCATTGTGTGCCTACCAAACCTACACGCCTCTCGGTTCTCATGATGAGCATATGTCATTCCAGCACAGTTGTGAGCACCAAATTCTCTCCAACTCATTACCTGTTGGTTTCTGGCTGTTTGGATGGTAAGATAGTTTGGCATGAGCCTGTTCTGTGAATGGTCAGTGCTCATCTTTGATCTTGCTGAGTCTATTCTGTGAACTACCATCACAAACCGTTTCTGAATTGGCCCTGCTGAGCGTTTTCCATTAACTGTCTTTGCAATGAACTTCTAAATTAAATTACTCATGCTGAGCCTGTTCTGAAACTGTCATTGTAGTCCACATTTACATTGGACATGCTTCTTTTCATCATTCAGGTTCTTTGTTAGTCCTCTTCTTTACCATTCAAAAAGAAGTTTATTGGTTAAGAATTTGATCTCAATAAAAAAAAAGAAGTGTTGAGCGTTTCCTTGGCATCTTGTATTTTCAAAATTAATTAATTAATTTGTGGAGGGGGTATGGAAGTCATTGCAAAGTGCTTATGGCTGTGGTTGCAATGGCCATTTGAAAACAGGGCAATGGCATCATCTCACATGACATACTCACACCTGATGAAGATGGTGGCATCCATGAATGCTGCTTGGACTGCTCATCAGTGAAGCCTTCAACCAAAGATATAATTACAATGATGAGGCAGCAAACAGTCATGGAGTTTCTTGCAAAGGAAGGCTTCAAAGCATCAAACATTATTCAACATCAGTGTATGTGTATGTATAAGAGTATGCATGTGTAGGCTTGGCATTCATCAATGCAAATAGATATGAAACCAAAGGCAGGGTACAGCAGAAAACAATTGCAATGACTAGGCAAGATGAGGAGCTTTCCAATGAGAAAAAATTTCATTACATTAACCTCAATTCTACAAGGTCATAAAAAAAAACAGTCTGATTGAGACATTTTTGGCATTGAGATTAGTAGCATGGATTGGTTTTCATTCTCCAAAATCCATTCTCCACAAAGGAAGCATTGCCTATGGCAGATAAGCTGGGAAAGGGGTTTGTTTCACTCGTACAGTACTACTATAGAATGAACTGGGTTGGCACTTCACGTGACCTGGGTAACTGCAGCAGTTGGTACAGCATTGCCTCAAAAAGAAAAACACTGACAGCATTTGAGTAATCTACAGGATGGCCGCGAGGTGGAGGATCGGTTTTTCTGATAGCCCCTTTATTTTACAGGCTTTACAGATTGAGTGACTAAAGCCCGTCCAGTAATGAAGAGAGACTTTTGGCTTCCATGGGGATGCACAAACAAACCAGGACCAGCCAGAAAGTCCTGGGCTTCAGACATGCTTTTCAGGAACGTTGCAGCTATGGCAGATGTCATCAAATCAAACCTACTGGCCTTTGAAACTGCTTAGTCCCTGCCTCTGAAGGATCATTTTTGCAAAAACCTTTACTCAACTGCCCCCTCTCTCGACTCTTCAACTGAACAAGCCAGTGGGTCAGACCCATTGCACAGAGTGGGCCAAAAAATAAAAACCAAAGCTGTCATTTTTGGTGAGCCATCAACCTCATTGTAGGTTGCCGATTCCAATAAAATTTGGTAGGCACATAGGGTGACACAATTGGAGTTTTTTAAGCGTAATTTCAGCCTTCTGGCTTTAAAACGACAGGAGCTGTAATTATTTTCTGATAACCCATGACAAAATGTGCTGTCGAAAATAGTGATATGAACTTGAGGCCGGGACATAGGCGTAGGAACGTCCTCGAAAGTGGGGGGGGGGGGGCAAATGAGATAGGTCAGATCTGAAATTCAGAAAATTAATATTTAATTCAAACAAGATCAGGATATCAAATTCATGTGAAACTAAACTGCAAATATTCTCCTTTCCTCAGTTTTCTTTGCTAAGTATTTCTTTAATTTATCTAGTTCCAAGGAGTCCAAAAATATATTGATGTGCAAGCCTCAATACAATGTTTGTCAGGCGCTGTTGTGTCGTCATTGTCTGCATACAATTATTGAGCCACTTCAATACCGAAAAATACTTATTTGCTGATGCATACACAACATACGTAGCACAAAACCGCATCTTTTGCGGGCAAGTATGAAATCCATGACCGCATATCAAAGTACCTTGCAATGAATGCCCTCCCCTCTTTTCTAGGGAATTTATATTTTTGCAGCTGAAAAGGGCCACTTTCACTAACATGCACAGGTTCCTGGGCTATCTTGTCCGTAGGGACAACTGATAATACAACACCGTTGAAGTTTTCCATTCCTGAAATTTCTTTATATTTTGCTGCCTTTAGTTTCGTAATGAAATCAAAAAGCGTCCAGTTTGAGCACTTCTCTTCCGTGACATGGCACTGAACCTCTATTCACTGTTCTACCATTAACCCTTAAACTACCAAGCCTCGAAGTTTCGCGTGTTATGACATAGGCTTTGGGTCAAATTGGATCAAGCTTGGTCGTTTAAGGGTTGAAAATGTTTCAAGCCAGACTTATAAGGGGACTGACTCCAGAACCTCCCTTCTTTTCAAGGAAAGACTTCAGAGAAGGGAGAAGTCCAATCGGATGGGAGATCTTGAACCCGAGACAAAAACTCCCACTGGTCGCCTATCAAGTGTGCCATACCACGCCAATCCCCCTCAGGCTTGCTGCACCTTGCTTTAAGCTAAATTTATTTTCCAATCCCCATTGAATGTCACAAAGGATCATAAGTCGCAACTTGCCAGTGTACACATTACTTTTAGGTTTAAAAGATACCTTTTGCCCTACCTTTTTCCATCTGGAAAAGTGAGGGGGCATTTGCCACCCCCCCCCCCCCGGGTTCCTACGTCCTTGGGTCGGGATGAAAAGGAGAACCGAATTTATGACCTTCCATCCCTGCATAATGCTATAGGGAGGCACTGCCTCAAAGATTTATTGGCTGAGCGATTGATCTGTGACGTCCCAGATTAGAGGCTCGTGTTCAACAGAATGGACGGCACATTGAGCACCTTTTCAGTTGAAATGAACCTACCTAAACCAAATTGTGCAGTTTCATTTTTGTTCTGTTTGTCTGCTTGCTCGTTTCTGTCAGTTGTGAGACATTTCAAGCTGAAAGAAAAAATGAACACTTAGTTTTTTGGCAATGAAAAGTAAATTAAATGCCCATCTCAGAGCTTGGGACACAAACCCTAATTGAGTCATCCTATATGCCTACCGAATTTCATCAAAATCAGCTGCCTACAATCAATTGACAACTCACCAAAAATGATAGCTTTGTGGGTTTTTTTTGTTGCCCACCCTGTATATGTATGTCTCTGCACCTGACCTTGGTATGTTAGTAGCCACCAGGTGAGCCTTATAAATCACACATAAATATGTATGTGTATCCATGATCACTTCCATGAAAAGTCTTTCCAAAAAGGCTTTGTTGATGAAAACAAGTAAAATGGACATTCTTATATTTCCTGGCATCTTTCATACCTAGTCTTACTTAATATATATGGGAGTTATTCAAGTATATCACCCATATCATAAACTTTCTTTGGCAAGTTGCTGAAAACGGGGTAAACAGACAGTGATGCTGGATATATTGACAAAATTGCATATTTTCAAATTGAAATATCTCAAGTTTTCATTTTTTGCATTAACAGAGAATCAAGAATCAATATATGATATGCATCCCCAGCAGGGATATTTTCTCAGTATATAACTCTAAAAATACATTTCAACTGAAAGAAGCCATAGATATGGGGTCGAAATATATTTTTCATTGCCAATGTTATCACCAGAACAGGAAGAAAAAAGGAAACTCTGACATGAAATATTGCACTTACAACATAATCTTTCATCAGCACTTTTTTTTCCAAAGCTTTCCATGAATAAACATGTTTTATGAAAAAAGAACAAGCACCTGATTAAAAAAAAAATATCTACTTGGAAGATTCACCAAGGTCTGAAGTGTGACAGCATCATCATGAGATCTCATCTACTTCGAGAAAGAGCTTGGCTACCAAGAAGACATCAATGGTCTTCACTTTTTGGCATGGAGCTGCTTAACCTCCCCAAACTCAGAATCCCCGAAGTATGCCCTCTTGGCCAAACCAACAAACAAGCCTGTCTCAACAACACCTGGAGAGGCAAAAAAAAACATGCATCATGGCATCAGTCACATCATCCATGCACATGAAAATGAAGAGATGCAGCCTAAACTAATAAAAGTGCCAACATATGACTTTAAGTGATGTTTCAATTCAAACTTAGTTGGACAAACTAAGTGTCTAAATGTCTTAACAGAGGCATAAAAATGTATCCACCATTTCTTTAGCAATAAGTCAATGAAGACATGACTTTTTGTTTTGCATCACTAAAGAATAGGTACAAAAAAAGTACTATGCAATTTCTTGATAGCATGATTTTCTATTCCATTAAATGTAAGACTCATTACAATAGCACTTTTCAGTATTTTTCCATATAAAATAAATAAATTTTATATTATATAAACATAATTACTACAGAAAAAACATGGTATGTGCCTTTTCATGGCTAAGACTTCAATGTGGCTTATTTGATTCTAGAGAAACAACAAGCCATGCAAGCTTCACAAGGCCTGAAACACAGCATTGTCTAGCATGTCACTGGTGTCTCACACAGGGTTAAGAAGTACACTAGCAGCCTGCAGCTGCTACGCTGGCCTTCTAATGGGCAGAAACTTGAAAATACTTGCATAAAGATATGAAGCAGTTTGGTTCAAACCAAAAATAAAAAATTTTCAAACCTCAAGAAGTTTGAAAGTGAAAGACTAAAGGTATAGAAGTTTTTATGGCCTAGCCTATGGCCTAGAATGGCATAGCCTCATAGGCCTTAGGTGTTGGGTAATGGAAGAGTGACAACCATTCACAACTGCTTTCAACCTCTTCCAATTTTTATGGCATAACTTACGGTCCAGAATGGCAGAGCCTTGTAGACCTGGTGCTTTAGGCCGTGGATGGCCTAGAATTGCATAGCATTGTAGGCCTTGTGTGTTAGGGGTGACAGCCACCACAACTCTCGGCCTCTTTCAAGTAAAGTATTAGATTAGATGTAAGATAGTCTACATGTCACTTGTGACACATGGCACAATGCCTGTTTGTTAGGAAGGACAACTGGTGGACTTTTAAAGGAAATTCAAGATCATATTTACATTGGTTCGTCAGCTATAGGTTGATGGGAAGGGAAACAAATTTCACAAATGAAAGATTTAAGTCATTAATAGGAAAATTATCCTTCAAGAAAGATTCAAGTTAGTTACACACAAGAAGGTTCACTTCAGGATTCAGTATCTGTTGAAGCAAGACCATTGCAGTTCAATTTAGCAATCACTATTAAAAAATTATTGCATATGAAATTAAAAAAGCAAATGTTTACTAAATGATAACCATTAATCAATTCAGCAATCTCATAAAACCAATACTCAGTGCTTATTGATGAATATCATATTAATGGAGTTTCCTGTAAGAAGTCAGTCCATTTTGAATCATAAATATTTAAAAAAAAGCTCACCTGGTATCATTTTCAGGAATGTGTTAACATCTTCCCACTTTTTTGTATTGGTGTTCTCTGGAAAATGCCAATCCAAGATAAAATTCCCATTGTCTGTGAGGATTGGACCCTGCAAGACGGTAAAATCACAACAGACTGCTAACTACCCAGGAAGTCTTTAAGTAAGCAAAGTCTTTGTACTAGAGATTCTGAAGGGTTTTTACATACCATTTTTTTCACTGCCATGCGAAGTTCCACTTTCCCACCAAAGGTTTCTTCTACCCGTCTTGCGATGGGTACATGTGCCATGGGAATGACTTCAATTGGAATGCCACCCTTCCACTGCTGTCCCAGGTACTGTGACTGCTTGCTGCAGGCAATGAAAGCTCTCTATGACAACCCCTACCAGTCTATCTATCTGCTAGTCATCATGAGCAATGTACTTGCCTCTGATCTGCCACTATCACAAATGTATCAGAATTATAAGCAACAATCTTCTCTTGTGTTAGGCATCCTCCTCCTCCCTTGATACAAGTCAGATCTTCATTGCACTCATCAGCACCATCTATTAACAAGTCAAGCTAGAAAAGAAAGCCATATCAGCTCAAATCATGGTCTATTTGAAAAAAAAATTTTTTTCATAACCCCAGAAAGTCCTATATATAGGTAACCCTACTTGTGGGTATTGATCCAAAGTAGATAGAGGGAGGTCATGTTGGAGTATCAATTGCTGTGACTGGTGAGATGTAGGGATACATTTCACAGAAAGGCCATGCTCTCGAACTTTCTTGGCTGAAACAAATGTCAAACAAATCACACACTTTATGATACAATTTCCTGTCAAATGCAACTGCAAATCACAATGGTGCTAACCCAGATGGTCTACAACATAGATGACTGTTGTTCCGCTCCCAATCCCCAGTAGCAGAGACTTCTGAAAAGGGGTCACAACATTGATAGTTCTGGGGGAAAAAGTAACATAAGCCTAATAAGAAAAAAAAATTAAGAATAGGGGAGCTATCGCTTAATGAAGGCTTGAGCAACAGCTTGTCCAAGTCAGTAATTTGGGCTAGGCTATCATAGGTTAGTGTCTTTCGCTTGACTTGGACACTCCTGCATGAGAAACATCCTTGTACAAGCGTCCGAGTCAAGTGGAAAATTGTTTGACTCAAGTGAATAACACTAATCTCAGTTCTACCCTACACAAAGCAATAGTTATCTAGCGCAACAACCAATAGGCCTATCTAACATTTGAGAAAGGGCTGACCTTCCCAGACAAAAGTTCCAATTCCCTATCGACAGCAAATATTGCGGCAGATCTCTTCGCAATGTTCTTGTCAGCCATTGTTTTAGACTTGCTGGAATAACACCTAGAGGTCCGGGTTAGGCTTAGACGGAGAAAGGGAGGGATGCACGATGCGAGTAAGGGCAGAATGGTTGGTGAATGAAGAATGCCGGTGGACGAAATACCACTTTGGAATCTGATGTCCTTGGGGTGAACTTGAAGGACATACACACATGGGCTCAAGACCTGCCCAGTCCTGTCTCACGCGCTGCAGGCAGCGTGTACGGCACGATAAACCACAGTGAAGCGGCCTCTATCGGCATGAAACACACTCTACTAGTTACGGCAAGTTGTGGGTAAATGGCGTGATCCTGATGTCCGATGTCCTAGATCTAGATTTACTCCCATTAACCTTCGCCGAAAATTGTCCTGTTTCGATAGAATTGCGAAACGATTCCCAGGGACGTTTAACTCTCGCCTCGCTCACGTATCTCTGAATGAAAAGGCCAAAACAGTAGGTTTGGATGAATCAGATTCTCGAACCTCGTTCGCGAATTACATACATCTTGGTACTCGTGGTTGGATCACCAAGTGATATTTAGGAGCTTTCCCCGCACTGTTCTTGCTCCTTTCCCACTTGGTAAGGAATTTCGAATTGCTTCCTGAGTTGAGCGAGCCGTTGCATTTCGTGGCCCTTGAGAAGCACAGCAGCACTGAGGGCAAACTCCGCCTTGGACAGCATTTTCCGCTTGATCTCTTTCACGTGAGTCTCCGTCTTCTTTGCCACAGACTCTACAATCACCTGTTAATACGTGCCATTCAACGATGAACACCGACGGCGCCGGGTATTAACAAGCCTCCCGTCCCATATTCATGCAATCGTAATGAAGATACACGGAACGAAAGGAAAGCAGCCTATTCACTGGGAATTATCATAGAGCCCATGAATGAGCCTCATTTTCTTCCGGTTCTGCTATCAACATAAGTATTCCAGACTGATCAGTACCTACGCGAAGCACGGAGGGGTACGCAACTCCTAGGTCTACGTCACATTGACATTTATGTCAGTGAGTTTGAAAATGCAACAAAGTACAGATGGCATAACTTGTGCCAATTCGATCTAAATTATTTCGGTTGGTTGAGCTATCTCACGATCCCTGTAAATTTGTATGCTTCTTGCAACAGAGTAAGGGAAGTCTTCTCCGGAAGGCGGAGACTTCTATAGGCGACGCAAAGGGTTATTTTACACTGGGGTAGAAACGAGAGGAACACTGGACTTCTGCTTGACAAGCAGAAAGCCCTCCCCAAGGAGACACACCCTTCTGTCGACGATCCAGAGGATCTATCTAGCAAAATCTGCCTTCATGCTTAGTCCACAGAGATCTGTTCATCAGGAGGCAATGCAGTTACAGTTGACGCTGCAACGAGACGCTGTTTCATCAGCGCGCTACGCAAATTTGCCAGAAGAATGGTGTTATAAACCTGTCTGAAGTCTTCCAGATGATGAATCAGGCAATCTATTTGTCGAATGATTTCCTCTTGCATAGAGAGGGTGCTTTTTTGATCGACAGATGTCACCACCGGATCACTCCGGGCCTGCAAAATAAGGACGGGATTCCCGGGATTTGGTTTCGGCGAGATGTTGCAAAGCACGCAAGAAAGCATCTCTTGCCCGCAAGTCCTTCTCCTTTTCTCCAGAACTCTTTCAAAAGTCTTCGGAGCGTCAGAGTGTTTACCCACATGCGTTTCATTGAGAATAAAGTCGCATAATCTAAGCGGTGCTGGCTCAGGAGAAGCAAATCTACTACTCGTTTGCAAACGAGTCGCGCGGACGCTGGCTCCCGAGGCGACAATTGCCTGACTGTCTTGTGACAATTGCACGGGGCAACCGTACTTCAGGACGAGACTTACAGCTTGCACCAGGGGGTCTCTGATGCGTCGGAGTTTCCTATCGTCGGTGCATTGACTCCCCTGTAAGGCGAGCAAAAGAATCCAAAATCGCATGCGGTCTGTGTATGGATGACGATATGATACATCTCGCCGTTGCCTTACCCGATCACTTGGGGAATCCGAATCAAGGACCATGTCCGGGATGAACGAGGACGATGCTAATTACGGTAATAGGGAGACATTGGGTGGGAGAATTTTCGAACCTGCTGTCCAAATTGGACGTTTAAGGGTCATTGTTGACACAGTTGAGGTTCGAGGAGAAATAAGCGAAATACGGCGGAACGTCGGAGGGCGATTCATTACATGAGTGAGAAAGCGGATGAAAGTAAGGGCGGCACAAGTGCTATGATAAGCCAGAAGTGGCCGTTCAGAGCTTGTAATTAATCTGGACAAGAGAGACTTCAACAACAAAAAATGGGACAGGGGAGACCTCCCGGCCGACTTTCATGACGATCATGACAAGAAGGGGAGGGGGGAAGGGGGAGGGGGAAAAAGTGGAACAAATTGAATCCGAGCTCATTGTCCACGGAGACAAATTAGGAGCCCTGTGGAATGTAATAAGATCAGATAGAGAAAGACAAGATGATGGCACCAAAGAGAATCGCGGCTTATAATTCAGAGATTTATTGGCTCTCTGATATCAAGGGCCTGGCGCATCCATTCATGCGTTTTCAGGCTCGATATTTATCCTCTCTCTCCGAGACAAAGGAAGGAAAAAGTGCCTATCTGAAGTCCATACATAACGCACGAACATAGCTATCGCAAATTTCCGGATACTCAGTGGCCTTTCCGGCAACTGCGGAACTTGCAAAGAGACATCGATTGACAGACATCGGGAAGACCGCAAATGAATGAAATCACCGATCGCATAAAATGCATATATATTATTCTTCTCGCTGTCGGTGATAGATGGGTAAGTTAATTCCTAATAGTAACAATTAATTGCGGTTACAGATACATGTACTTACCTCCTCTAATCCTCACTAGCCAGCTATAGTCTCTCTTTCTGGTAAATACGAAGTATACAGCAAGCAGCAGCAATAGCCATCAATAAAGTCTGAGGCATCCAATGAGAAAGGCAAAGAAAAAATTCGGATTTTATTGCCATGACACAGAATATGAACCTGAAAATATACAGACTAGAGCCGATTCTCGTGGAAAAGAAAAAGGGTTCTGTTCATTACAGGGGAAAAGTAACTCGTAGCAGCAACTTCCGTTAAAATTTTGTATTTAAAAGGGATTAGTAACCCTTCTTATTTATCGCTTAAAGTAACTCGTTACACCTAAAGTTACTATTAAAAAAAACTATTAATTGCAACAATGCGTCACTCGGCTATCGGCCATCACTGCTTCTCGTCCATACTGAACCAGCCGTCCTTCGTATACATGCCTGAGGATTTATTCGATGAATGAGATGATGAGTTCCACAACATGTAAAGCGTCGTTAGAGGTATAGGTTTTCACTCCATGCACACCTTTGAAGATCTATACGACCTAAAAGCCATTCATCACGTGTAACGAGACCGCAGGTCCAATATTTAATCGCGATTTCACCAATTGGAATCATCGGATTCTTCTCGGAGTCTCCTGAAGGCGGCCAGTTTGGCTTGCTGCATCTCCAGCTGCTGCTTTCTCCACTTGATTCGCCGGTTCTGGAACCACACCTTTACCTGCGGAAAACCGTGGGAATTCATCCCTCATGTCCTCGAGAATCATCCCACCATCCAGCGTCACCTGTGCTTCAGTGAGTTGTAGGGTGGAGGCAAGGTAAAGGCGTTCGGGTCCGACCATGTATTGCTGTCTCTGGAATTCTTGCTCCAGCCTTTCCAGCTGTTCCGGTGTGAAGATCGTTCGGACACGCTTAGTTCGATGACGACCGTTTTCGGCATTGAAGCTCACTTTCTCCGTCATCCACAGCCGTCCTAGAAGGTGCACGAATTCGGTGTTTTTCTTTATTCTATCGAAATTCAAGGAACTTAATTTTTTAAAATGTATCGTGTAGTTCTCTAAAGTCTGGACTGTTTAAGAAAAAATCCCAGTTTAAACAGATTGCAAACACGGGCGTAATAAAAACCGTTTACATCATGGTGGTTGCCACCATTTTCCTTGAAGGCTCATCACTTGTTTGATGTGTGCATTGGCTTGACGAAACCCTTCCTTCGATTTGGCTTCGATTAGGTTCAAGGAAGAGTTGAAGAATTTCAGCAAAAAGGAATAGAAACTCGCCGAACAGGAAGTCCATAAACGAAAATTTGCTTCAACTTCTCTTATCTACCTTAAGAAATATGAACGGAGAGAAATTATAAACTAAAAGCAGTATTACTCAAGACTTTATCAGATTACATTCTCAAACATCATAAAGGAGAAAGTCTAAAATCTAAATAAGCAAATGTCAGAGTTCCTTTCCCCCAGAAAACATTCAATTTCACATAATTATATTTTCAGTTTCTCGAGACATCTTGAATATCCAAGGGGAAAACTTCAAATATTCAAAATACTCACTGGGGCTGTAGGAATACTAAACAGCAGTTTCTTAACACGAAGCATTTGATTACGAACTGCAGGGTCCATATCACGCAAGGAAATAGATTCAGTACAGCGACATTTTCATCTGAAAATACTTATTTTAAAGAATGGTTTATAAAATGCTGATGTAAAAAATGAACATAATTCGTTTGAAATATTAACGGGGCTCGCATCGATCGAAGTAGTCAGACATGAAACACGAAGTAGAAAATGCTTGAACACTGCGAGGAAACGGTTGATAAAGTTATCAAAGCTCTAAGCGATTTTGTGCGCAATATGGCGCCACTCTGATGAGGGGATTTATAGATATTTCCTTTCCTCCTTTCATCGTCTGGCAATCCTTTGTGGACCTGTCGGAATCCCCCTCGAAAGAGCGTCTTTCCCGTCACAAATAAAATGGCGAAACATTTCGAAGAGGAAATACCCTTTCACAATCCTCTTCACCAGCCACATAGCGACGGCAAGTCAGTGGAGATATGGCTCCCACCCAAGCCGTGACCTCATTTTTGTCCGTGATGAGGTGAGTTCGTAATGATCACAGATTCATGCCATGAGCATCACAATCGAAGAGCAAAAGAATCGACATGATATCCTCTCGTTTCATCTCCGTATCTCAAGTGTTTTATCCTCGCTCAAAGAATCAGAAACAACAACGAAAGTGACGATGGCTTTTTCTAGGAATAATTATTTTTAAATCCTGCAGCCCTATGAACTTTCTCAAGTTCCAACAACCCCACACGAACTGTGATTACGTTCAAGCACAAGAATGATGAGCGACATGAGATCCGAGAATCGACAGGGTCTAAGAAGTGCGAAATCAGTGCAGTTTAATGAGGAGGAATAAAGGAAAGCATTAGGACTACCGGTACGAGTCTCGTAAGGCTAATACTCAATAATAAAAAAATTCACGCTAACGGACAATCGTTTCGTGGACACGGCTCTCGATTGTATACGCTCGGTATGCCATTGATCTTACAATAGACACGTTCTTGAATAATCCAGTTCTTGGTATCCAGATTCGAAATATGAATATTTTGAAGAAGTTAGTCCGGTTCTCGAGGTAGTTTGAATGGCATACAGATATTTTCCGCACCTTTCTCTGGCGTATGGGTGAGAAATGCATGAGGAGAAAGTGAGATCTGGGTAAAAAAAAATTGCATCTCGGGGTAGCAGAAGCATGCTTTCGACCACCTTATGTCCTCGCAGGCAATTTCCTGAAATCTTCTGTCCTTGCTCTTGCTGTGTGTTCCCACACCTTCACGTATCGGTGCGTGTACTTTATTCTTGCAGCAAGAAAAACTGTGAGAATTTCGTAAACGTTTCTGTTCTTTGGAGAGGGAAACCACGCGACGCACCAATACAGGGAATACGCCCAGATTCAAGGTCCGAGATTTAAGGTTCGGAGAAGGACGCTGAGAGATGCTTTCACCCATTATGACGTTCCGTGTCAAGGTTGAGCGTTCATGTATAATAATAATTATTATTATATGTATACTGTATGTATATAAACTGTATATATATATTATTTTATTTTCATTTTTGTGGGAGCATATCCACCTACTGCCTCGTCGCTTACAACTGCATTGTCAACTACCCTACAAGTAAATAAGTCATTCCGCAACCTGAGACTCGATTGGGGTTTACGAGAGTTGAACCGATTTCCTCTTATTCTGTTGTTACCATGGTGTTGGAATAATCTAACACGCTCCACGTTAGCGATTCCCTTGCTGATCTTGAAAGCCTGTTGAAGTCCCCCTCATTAGTCATCTCTCGAGCGGGAACAGCCCCGACGTTTTTAAAACGCTTCTCGAATGAAAGTCCTCGTACCTCTTTTATCATTTTCGTAGTTCGCCTTTCACCTCGCTCTCGAACGTCGTTAGATCACCTTTATTTGCAGGCCTAAAAAATTGGATGCAATATTCTAAACGGGGTCTAACCATAGCTGCATAGAACAGAATAGCACGCTAGCTCTTATTAGCAATGGAATGCGGGATGAAGCCTAAAATTCTATTACATTTGACTACTGTCGCCTACGCATGCGAAGAGAACTTGAGTTGCTCATCTATCGGGGTCCAGCACAATGGCGGATCCAAGGGGAGGGCGATCTCCCCCCCCCCCATATGGCCAGGTTAACATTTATTTAAAAAAAAAACCATCTGCATTAACTTTTATTGGTCCAGTGAAGTAGATATTCAAGTTTGTACCACAGACAAAAAATGAAAAAAGTAATAGGGCAGGGAGTGGTGGTAGGCGGGGGCGATGGGGGGGGGTTTAGGTAGGAACTTGGGAACCGCCCCTCCTATGAAAATTTTCTGTATCCGTCACTGGTCCAGCGTCTCTCCGTTTGCCTCCTTCGGTATCGTCGAACGCGTCCAGAGACCTATCCTTTTATTACGACATGGGGAGGACATTATATTTACTCTTATTGAACTTCATGAGCCATATTTTTGCTCCACTCGTCCAAAAGCTGTACGTAGGGTGATTAAAAAGTTCTAAGCCTTAGGGACTTCTGTTGCAAATACACCATTCATACTACTCTCATGAGAGGACAGATGTCTTCGATGGTGACTGGCAACATTGCATCTTTTTTCGACTAAAGATTGCTTCTC